CCTTATACGGAGCCCTGGACCCTTCCATGCGCAGAGGGCTAAGGGCACCCTATGAGGCCTCGTGCTGCTCCTTGGGGCCTCTGTGCACACAAGATCAGGGGGCTCTACATGACTTTTTTCAGCCCCCTGAGGCTTTCAAGCACACAAGGCCCAGCGGGCCCTAAGGGTCTTCGTGCAGCCCCCCAGGGCCTCCCTGCATGGGGCTGAAGTTGCCCTAGGGCCTCAAGTTGCCCTAGGGCCTCTGTGGGCCTCCATGCACTTGGGGGGCTCCATAGTGGCCAGGCAGGTCCTACAGGCAACGTGCGGGGGGCTCTACCGGGTCAGCAGGCCCTATGGGGAATACACACAGATGATGCAAACTTATTAAATTTGATTAATACACCAGTTATGCCAAGGTGCTCTTTAAAGAGGGGTTAGTTAATTCAGGCAGTATCTGCAGTAACAGGGAATGAAAAGGTCCCTTTAAGCCACTGTGCTTGCCAAGCCAGAACGTTATTAAGAGCCATGTGCCTTCTGCAAGCCAAAACCAGGAGAAGGCGCTTCTGGAGTGGCTAAAATTGGCTCAGCAAGTGGGTTTTAACAGAGGAGATCTCTGCAGAGGGAAGGAATGATGACTGTGGGAACTAAGGAATTCCTTAGATCCACAGGAACAGAGGGAGTGGAAATAGCAAAGAACTTCAAAAAAAAAAAAAAAAAAAAAAAAAAAAAAAAAAAAAAAGTAGAAGCAGAAACCATTAGTTCAGAGGACCCTCACAGTACAACACAGCTAACGGTGAGTCTGTCATGCAAAATAATAAATAAATCACTGCCTGGGACTAGAAATGCCAAGGAGATAAAAGTATCCAAAGCCTTACAGTAACGTGGAGTTTTAGAGAAATGAGAAGGGCAGCTGAAGCTCAGTGCGGTGATCATCTGCAGTGAGAAGAGAGCCTTTAGGGGAAGGGGGAGACCGGAGAGAAGTCCTGAGGAGGAAGGGGAATGTAAAGAAACTGAACACGCCGAGAAGGAAAAGTCTGCCCCGAAGGGAGGGAGGGTAGTGCAGAAGCCGCCGCCTTTCAGCAGGGCAGTTATCACGAGAGGGAACAGAACAGAAGGGGGAGCGCGGGCAGCCCGGCCCCGCGCGGCGCCTCAGCAGCGCTCGCCCC